GGCAGCCAGTGTAGTTCTTTCAGAATTGGTGTTACGTGGGCTGATTTCTTTTGTTTCATTATCAATTTTGCTGCTTGATTTTGGAGAACTTTGATAGTTTTTCGGATGTCAAACCGGACAAAATAACATTACAGTAATCTAACTTTGATAAAATGAGTGTTGTTACAAGTGTCTTGGCTGCTGCTTTAGTTAAATAATTTCTTACACTGCCATTTCATGTTTAAAATGATCTTTGAAAATTTAGACGCTTTTTTCAAGGTTTTCTATCCAAACACCAAAGGCAAAAAATGATAACCACAGGAAACCTCACTCAAAGCAGAGCTGTATAGTTCTCCGCCAATGAAAAGACAGTATTTAATCATCAATCTTTCAGCAAAGCATTCGGATGCACGGTGTCAATTTTGAACCGGCCCACTTCGCATTCCAATCGCGAGGGGCTTCCCTTTCCACGGTGATTCTCCAGCTCAGTCTCGGATTATAATATACAAACAACTTGCCCTATTGTAAAGAAGGAAATCTTAACTTTTTCAAAGTGTTCAGCATTTGGTGTTTTATAGCAGAAGAGCAAAGAAACAGAGTTTTGAATTACCCCCATTTTATCGAAACCACGTGCACGGAAGGCCGAGAGTCGGCTCACGTGCCGTGTTTGCGCTACCTAATTATACGTTTGCAATAGTACCATAAACACCTGAGAGCATACGCACACACATAAACACACACACACATACACACACATAAACACACCAACACACATACACACACATGCACATAGACGCCTCGCTGGCCTCTTGGTAAGGAGTCTGCTTTGAGAGATCTAGAGGAAGGTTAATTAATCTTTTAAAAGCACTTACAATAAAAAAGAATTTTAAAAATCAGCCCAAGTGTAAAACTGAAAGATCAACAGATGATAACAGCTAGCAGGACACGCCCACACAGTCAGCTGTTTACGTAAACACGCTTGAAGTGAGCTAGAAGTTTCTGTTTTTACTCCGTTTTACCAGTCAGAGTTGTCTACATTTCAGACCATTCATGTTCGAAAAGGGGTCAAAATCTAAAAATAGTTGCAAATGAAGAACGTTGAAGCAAAGATACTCCAATGTGGAGTATCTTTGGTTGAAGCAAAGGTGGCCATGAGGTAATTGTTTCTAGAAATAATCTCACAACCACACACTAGCAAGGTCCAAATTCCTTTATCTCATCACCCAAGCTCACAACCTTCCTCACATACCTCCAAAATAAATCAAAATAAAATATTTATAGTCAATTAAAGATGTTTAGTTTTATCTTAAATGAAGCAGAAGACATCAAACTTTCAATAGATCCAAAAAACAAAAATTTCATGGAAAGTCACTTTTTTGCCTTTCGGGCCTCGTAGCTGATAATAGAACAGTGCGTCTTACGACTGATATTGATCGGGGCAGACAGATATCATGTTGTTTTTTTGTGGTCTTGTATTGCTCTCCATTTTTTGTAGTGACCGTAAGTTTTTATGTTTAAGCTTATGTGTATTCATTTCAGTAATGCAGAATTGACTTTGTGAAAACTTTAATCTCAATTTGTCTTGTAGACTCATGTGTTTTCTTTTTAAGGAAACACTAGAGAAATATTTGTGCTTAGAAATGTTTTCATTTTTACTTTTGTGTAATAGTATACTCTTAGGTAATTTTAACAATGACAAATTAGATTATTTTTGATTTTTGTGACATGTACATATTTTCCCTGATAAATATTATCTCTTACTTTTCTCCAACTTGTAACTATTGTGTTTATATTCATGATGAACTATTCTTTTATTTTTCTGTGACAGGAAACTCCCAAGTACTCTTCCCGTCCGGTGCACAACGCAACCCCAAAGGTCGATATGGCTCGATGGAGGACATCCGAAGCACCACCTCCTCGCAGGACAAGACGAATGGAGCCTATAGTAATCCCGCCTACACAGCGGGACCCAGAGAGAAAAAGTCTGAGCGATCGGCGGGCCGCGGAGTCGCGAACTCCGCATACTCCGTCGACGATGCAGACACGGGGAGAGGGGATACATCATGGGAGGAGGGAGAGGCGATAGATCGCGGAGGCTCTCAGCGCCGCTCTAGAAAAGAGGCTTTTGATGCCAGTGGCGGCAAAAAACCGCTCAAGTCTGCCCTCAAGAAGAGAGATCCGGTGGAGATTGAGATGGGAAACGTAAGCCACCAGCCAAACGGGATTCTTAAGAGACCTCATTCGCCTAGCCGGTCACAAACATCTTCTGTGGAGGGCTCATTGGACACCAATGCCTTAGTTCACGGCTATGGGCACGGAAACGTACAGCATCCCAATGTACACCACAAACCTGTGCTGGAACGAAGAAGGTCAAGGTCAGGCACACGGTCACATCACTCAAACTCTTCCATTGGCAGAGCGTCTTCACGAGAGCGGCAAAAGTCGTCTGAGAGGAAAAAACCCAAGCCTAACAACCGCATGTACAACCAAGACGTGTTCATCGATGACTCTCGGCAGCGACGTCGCAGCGGCAGTCGAGGCCGAACCCGGTCCAACAGCCTGCGCAGCAAGCGCAGCGACCGCACCAGTGACTCGGTGGACTCTGAGTCCTCAGCCAACTCAATTTCTTCCCGCAAAGTCAGCATGAACCCTGGCGGGAAACGCGTACAGATCAAAGGCACAGAGACAGATCTGTGAACTCTGACCTTGTGTTGTATCTGTTTGCTTCCTCTTCAAGAGTTGTTTTTATTTCCTTATTCCTGTAATTAAGATAATTATGGCCTTTCATGTATTCTGGTATTTGAGCAAAATCTCTTTACCTCTAAAGCCATGGTAATTTTTAAAATCTTCTTTGATTGACTAAAACAATTTGTATGCGGGTGGGTCAAGTCAGGCAGCTGTCACAGAGAAGTCACTCTGTCTTTAAAATGAGGACCTGCCAATTTTCCAACTCAGCTGAAGTACTAGACTACAGTCATGTATCCCAAGTGTGACCAGTGGCAATAATCTATACTCCCCTGAAATTTACTTTTGCAACATATTCAAATAGAGGATGTTTTCAAATACTATTTTTCTTGTTACCTTTCTAAAAATTTCCTTGAATCAACCAGACAACGAAACTGAAAGCTAAGAAGGAGGGACGTGTTTAACAAAATGAACGCATAGTTAGAGAGGTAAACTGCTGTTAAGTCTGGCTATGTTTAGAGTGCCATTACTCAAGTGAATATGCTATGTTTTGTGATGGCAGAAAATGGTTAAAACTGTCTGCAATAGAGAATGGCAAAATTTCTCAGCAAATTAAAAGACTGAGAGAAATTGAGATAAGAGCAAACAAAGCTGATGTTTTCACCAACCTCTGTCCATACACATGCGTGTCGTGACGCCCTATCCAATTGCTTGCCTTTGCCCTTCGTGAACTTACTAGCCCACATTCTCACACTCACTAGATATTGAATAATTCTTTTGTGCACACTGTGTGATGGTTACATCCTGGTATAATGGATATGGTCCTTCATATTGTAGAGACGAGCACGCTGTTGTTTGGTTGTGAACTTTGAACTGCTCAGACTAGACTTTCCTCTGTCGGTAAACATTCACGCCCAATTGTTTTCAGAATTTCTAGCACCTTGATTATGGAGTGGATTCCAGTGCAAGTGATCCATGTTTCTCTTCCTCTGAGGTATTTACTAGATGTATTTGTTTGGAGGGTTTTTAAAGTCTTTCATCATGTCCTATGTTAGACAAATGTGAGGCATGATGGTGAAATCAGGTGCTCGTCAAAATAATGAAATCGAAGAAACTGACATCTTTTTGTCCATTAGGCAATTTTTATAGAATTTTTCATTTGTTTTTGACTCAACACCTTTAAGGTCCATTTAAGAACATATTTCTATGTGGATTTTACTGAAAAATGTTGATTTATGGCACAAAAATGTAAATTTGGAGATTCTAAGGACTCTCAAGCTTTGAAATTTGCTTAACTTTGGCAGCCATTTGCTTGCTAATTTTACCTCTGAAATCAGAAGACCCCCACCTCCTTCAGTCGCAAATATCTCGACTTCTATTCAAGATAGATGACTATTTTTTTCACCCAAAGCAAGGCAAATGAACAAGCTTTAAAATTATACCAAAAACTCCTCATGTCCAAAAATTGATGAGTGCCTGATTCCACCGCGTCATGACACAAATGACTGTTTAAAGATGAAATGCGGTAAAATACGGTGAGTTGAATTGGGGAATGAAACCGAAAAATTCAAGCCGCTCCAGCAGTGAGTTGTTGAAGTACTGCTGGTATTTGGGGATGCCCATTGTCTCTTCCTCTTTACTTTTGGGCTGGTCCCACTTAAACAAATGCTGAATTTTAGAATCGCTATGTAATAGAAAGAGGTTAGTGAGGGCAAAAGTGTCCATTTTTACTGTTTTATTCCTAATTCTTACTACTTTTCTGGAAAGTTTTAATTGTTGATAACAGATTTGTATAAAATAAATGTATTTCTATTCTTTGATAGTACTGCCAGCTACTGTGAGTTGGTAGAGTTGGGGGAGTGAAAAAAACCCAACTCATCCTTAGTTCAACTTAACTGTTGGGATCTGTTGAAAAGAAAAGGTGCTAGGACCCAAGAAAAAGATCAGCCTAACCGAACATCAACTCAAGCGAGTTCAACACAACCAGAGTGAACTGTAAATGAATATTTAAAACGAAATTGTAAATAACACTTTCAGCAGAAGTGTGCCATGTGCCAGTTTTATATGAGTTTCTATAGTTAACTACTGCTTGATAAGTCAGGTTCTCAGAAATCAGACCAGGGTCTGCAGCTGCAAGTAGCTTAGGGGGGAGGGGGGGATGTATTCTGATTGAACTCACAAAGGAAATGTTACCGGTTAGTGTGGAAAGCACTCTGAAATCATGAAAACTACTCTTTGGTCCCATTGCTCAGGAATGATAAATGAGAAAGTATTTATTCAGATAAATAACACCCTTAGCTTCCGGTAAATGAGAGGGATGGCCACCTTGGATTGTCCAATTTTCTAGATCGAAGGTTTAACAGCCTTTTTTTTTTTGCAGCCAAATACAACATATATATTTCTGAGTTCTTTCTTCTCTGTTCTGTGCTGTTATGACATGGGGGCAATACCTGCTTGGTCTGGGGGCTCAACATGTCAGGGTTTCTTTTATTTTCTTTCATCTACTGGGTTTACCTCCACTTTATCAAAACTGTGTTTGAGGTAGTGATGTACAATATAATGAAAGAGGCTCATTTCTGTCCCCTGGACGCCATTGTGTGTCTGTAGTCCTGACTTGTGTGAGGACCCCTGACCCCTGACCTTTGATCTGACCATGTGACCTATACTTCCAGGTCCTTGTCCCTGTTATGCTCTCCCTTCCTGTACATAGACTTGTGAACATGTTGTTTGTACTAATGATTTCGTTTCATATATATTTTTTATACACTGTTACCTTAGTTAAATGGACGTATTCAGGTTTTTGTTTTAATTTTGAATATTAATTATAGGAAGAAATAACTAGTGTATATTTTTGTAGATTTTGTGCTGGGCCACATGACGTGTGTAATAAACGAATTTTACTTACCCTGTCACAGATTGGCTGTGGGCAGCATAGTTGGTGTTAGCCGACATCGCACCGTCTTCTGCCTTTCCATTGTTCTTTGGAACTTTTCATCCATGTTCAAAGCAGACTTATGCCCACATGTTGACCTCCTGATACGCAACGAGTTTGACTCAATATGTCCTTTATTGTTCGGATCATCACTGAATGGAGCTTTGCAGGTTAAGTCCATTGGTTCAGTGGTTTTAAAGTGTTTTTGACTTCTTGATTGCATGTAGGAACAAGCAGTGGATGAAAGCTGATGTGAGTTTTACGAGTTGGGCCATTTCTTGAAAAAGGAAACTGCTGTGGTACATGTAGCTTGGGGAGGATGACCTGCTGAAAAAAGATTTAAGCAGGGATAGAGCCATTTTGTATACTTTTATGTTAGAAGAAGGTTACAATTAAATAGAGAATAGCTCTATCACTGCTTAGAATACGCATTACATGTGTCACTGCAGTTTTTCTTTTAAACTAATGGTTCAGTACATGAATGCATCATGGTGCATGAATGGGATTGTCAGACTGTTTGTGAAGTGGTTAGCTATTGCTTCAATGAAAGTATCACACTCTGACATTGTTTGGTTGCAGACGTGTTGTGCGTACGGCTCATAATCATAAAGCTTTATTAATGAAGTGCTTCATTATGTAGATAGATTTGTGATCTTGCATTGTGTATAGTGGTATTTGACCTAAGCTACAATATATACAGATAGATGTGTGATGTTTCTTTGTGTACAATGGCATTATCTGACCTATGCAGTCTTGCTCTTCACTGCTGCGTGAACCAAGTGCCGTTCTGTTCTTGTATTTCAAACACCTTCATAGTTGCCAAAATTGCTCAACATTTTTTTCCCATCTTTTTGGCCGCCAAGTACATATATTTAGGAGTTCTTCTCTGTTCTGTGTTGTGATGACAGGAGGGCGATGTACCTGTCAGGTGCCAGGGCTCAACATGTCAGAACTTCTTTTATTACATTCATCTACTGGGTTTATCTCCACTTTATCAAGACTACGTTTGAGGCAGTGGTGTACAAAACGAAAAATGCTTGTTTCTGTATCATTAAAGATTAAAATGTTGATCAGCAATGTTTTCACTATATTTGAGACATTTGGTTTCCTTAGATTGTCATTTTGTTCATGACAAAGAAAAGAAGTATCAAGAGTCAAAAGTAATATTGATGAAAAGGAAGGAGAGGTTTTCACCAGTTTCATTGATCTCCATCATCCTTATTACTGGAAGCATTTTTTTGGGTAACATTTGCACCCTGTTAGAACGGATGTGTATTCATTTGGTTGTAAGCTCAAGTGTCAAATTTGCCTACTTCTTTTCATAGTAAAAAAAAGCCGCATAAGCGTGTTTCAAAGGATCAGAAACACTTTGAATGTTTTCTTCAGTATTGGTGACCAAAGAAAATGGCAGTGTATTAATCGGTTTTGAGACAAATTTAGTTTTTGTCTTAGTTTATCACCTCACAACACACAGAATCACAGACTTGAAAAGAGGAGGTATTCCCTCAGGATTTGATGCAAACCTGAAATAGCCTGGGAAAGATATAAAGAAACTTTGAGAAACAATGCGAGCCATGTTTTGTACTGCTCCTACCCTCATTTTGCTGGTCAAGTTTCTAATCAGCTGAGCTACGGTGGCTGACTTAAAATTGTACAATTTGGTCCAATGCTAGAAAACACAAATCCTGAAATATATCTGATAGTCCATTGTTCTTTTTCAGTTGTATTTTTCTTGATTCTGTTGTCTCTTAATCTGTTGATCTACCCTACATGATGAGAGTTGCACATATTTTGTAAATGTCAAATCCATGTATAAATATACAGGCATATCCTGTTCCTCTTTCCAGACTTCCTTGTTATTGATTACCGTGATGTATAGTGCCTTATATAATGCTGTCAATATATTTTGCTGTTCATCTTATCACCTGTCAGGTAATGCGAAGCTGCTATTGTGTCATATAGAGAGGTGTGCAATGAACTGAGGTCAATCATGTCTTGTTTGGGTCCATTTTCGAGCTGTGTTTCTGAATTCAGAGTTTGTCATGTTTGAGAGTCCAGCTTGGAAGGGGAAGACAGATCC